TATATGAATTTAAAAAATAATTTTAATTATTACGATTTTAATCTACTTTAGTTTTAGTATAATAAATATTTATTTTGTTATAGTAATTATAATAAGTAAAGTTGTAAGTAGAAATAAAAGCTACAAATTAATATAAAATAGTTATTATTAATAATAATTATTCAGAAAGTTACATAGCATTTATGATCAAATTTAATAAATATAAAAATAAAAATACTTTAATTATCATTATGTAAACTTTTAATTCTTACTTAAATACTATAAATTATGCTTATAAGTAAAAATATTAAAGTTGTAGCTTATATTTAGAGCTACAAATCAGTATATGATACTATATACTAATTTTTAATTGAACTTGAACCAGACTCAAACTTGTATAATAATTCAGTTCAAGTTCAATTCAAATTTTGAATCTTTCTTGAACTCAAACCAAAGTCTAGTTTAAGTTTAGTTCTTCTAATTCAACTTCAAATTTCACAGCAAAAATTATATATAAAATCCCAATCTCTGTGAATGTAAACATCTTGATAATGATTATATTAATAATTTCTGTTCCTAATTTTATAGAATGACCAAAACAGATAATCTTATCATTAAAACAATCCTCAAATTTTAATTATATACAGAATTAATAACTGATTCTATAATCTCTATATAATTCATAGACAAATCTCTAGATGACTAGTCATGTCTTATATTTTAAATATAATAAGGATAATTTATATAGTATTATATATCTTCTAATTATCTGTAATTTTAATAGTAGTATATAATGAATAAGATTATACTATAAGTATTTGAGAATATATACATATATTAATTTTTATAAAATTTTTTGCTATTTTAAAAAGTTATTAAATAAAAAATAATTTTAACAAACTAAATTATAAAAATAATAAATTAAGTCAAGTTTTATCAATTTATTAATTTATTTTTATATAATTTTACTAGAAATATATATTTAAACTTATATATTTTTCTCAAATTTTTATAATGCTAGTTGAAATTTAATATAATTTTAATTATTTATTATTTCTAATTAATTAAATATATATACTAAATTTTTAATAATATAATATTTTTTTAAAATTTGAAATAGTATTTATATATATAATTTTTGTAAATATTTTGATTTATTAAAAGATTTTATTAAAATTTTATCAATTATATTATATTATTTTAATTATTATTTTAATTAATTAAAAGATTTTGTTACTAATTTTATTAATTGTTAGTTTTATTTAAAAAAAATTCAATAATTATTTTAAGTTTTTAATTTTAGTTTTGAATTTGTTTTTCAAAATAATAATTAATAAGCTATTTAATATAAAGATTAATATTCATAAAGAAAGCATCAAAATATTATAAGAATTAATAATTAATTTACAAACTTGAATTTGAAATATTTAAAAATAAACTCAATATTAAAAGAAAAAAAATATATCTAAGATTTATATCAATTTTTATAGAAATTGTAATAGAAAAGTTATAAAAGAAAAAATAAAAGAAAAAATAAAATATAGTAAAATAAAATAAAAATAAATAATAAAAAGAATTTTGAAATACTAATTCTTTGTACTTGTATAAAGTTTTATAAAGCTAAAATAATATAATTAATAATAATAAAATAACAAAAACTCCTACTTTTTTTTATAAATAAGAAATATTAAATAACAAAAAAATAACAAAAATCAAAATATTTATTTATTAATCAAAAATTCAATAAATTCAATAATAACATTTTGTTAGATATAATATAATTCAAAGTTAATAATTCTAATAATAGTATTTTGTTTGGTACAATATGAACCAAAGTCAATAAGTCCAATAATAGCATTTTGTTTGGCACAATATAATCCAAAACCACTTGTATTCAAGCTTTGTTATATATAATTAAAAGTGAAAAAGATGAATATTATTTGGCAAAAGATTCTTGTTAAGCTATAATTTATTTTTCAGTAATAACATGTTGAGTTAAGACCCAGACAGCATTCCTATTTATGTATACATTTTTTACAAATACAAATCTTGATAATTATACTAATCAAAATAAATAAAGTTGTAAGTTGTAAAAGAAGTTGTAAAAGTTATAAATAATATATTCGAGTTATTTTTGCTGGATTTCTTCATTTTTGATTATTTATAGATTTTCTGTTTTTTGACTATTTTGGATTTTATCACTTTTTCAGAAATTAAACAAATTTTTGTTACTACTGTTACAATATACAACCTTTTAATTTAAATTGACTTGTGCATAGTTTGAAAAGATGAAGTCACTCAATTGACGCAGGAAGATGTTTTATATGGGTTAGGCAACAAGTGTGAATTTTGCTATCTGAAAATATATAATTATATGTTTTAATTTGGTCCAGGATTCTCTTCTAACTTTTAGATCGATACCATCTTTATCATTATTGTCGTCATTTAATGCGTTCATCTGTTTTCCGTCCAAGAAAATCCCAAAGGTTTCAATATTTTTATATAGCTGAAGTTCTGTTTGTTATTAGCAAAAATCAAGAGCAACGAATCCGTAACATACACAAAATGATTAGCACTTATATAAGAAGGCAGGGCATTGTCACGATTTTCATGCTCCAGCGCGCAACTTTTCGACCTCATCAGTATAACAGCAATTTTCTCATCTCATGTAAGGGAATAAGCTGTCTTCCGTTATCGTGAGCGGATGGGTAAAGAAGTATATGAAAGCGCGAAGGATCGGAATAAATTTTGGAGTCCGCAATGATCTGATTGTAAACTTGTTTTACCAGTTGTGTCTAGGAATACATGTACTAAGGCAGGGTTGAGAATTATGTTCTAGTAAAGTACATATAAATTTCTCAACATAGATGGAGGAACACATTTATATCTTATACTTAGAGAAACCAGCTTTTAATAAAAATGGATAAGAAAACGTAAAAGAAAAAAAAATAGTCAGCCTAACTTGTAAACAGTATACCAAACGTTCCCTCAGCGAATGATAATAAAAGAAAGCATCCTTTCAAGAGGATGAGTACATACTTCTAATTTTACTGATCTCCAGATTTGCGAGTTTCTTCGCCAGGTATGTTGTATACCCTATGCATGTTTCTTTTGTCAACTTGCAGACTATTCTTTGTTTACATAAACGAAACAGCGGAAGTATGAGAAGAATTATCCGAATTTAGGATGATACAAAGTATTGAAAGACCACAAGAATTTATTTAAAAAAATTGCTATTACGATCGTTATCACGTCTGCCTTAAATTATTACATATTCTCGATTTAGATAAATTATGAAAATGACTTTTAAAATCTGATGAAACATTAACTTAGTATATTTCAAAGAATGCATAACGATAAATGTTTGAAATTATTATTGCTGAAAACATAAGCAACCGATGCATCCGGTTGTAATTCTCGTGATTTTTCATTTCGATTACAGTACCTTTAAAATACACAACGATTAATAGAAGATTCCAAACATGAAAAATTGAAAGTCAAAAATGAAAATGCCAACCTTACAGTATAAAGCTTCGATTATTTAAAGTAAATTGGATCAATATCTAGTCGATTTGAGAAGAAAAGTCAGAGCATTTATTCAAAATAATTCAAAATAATTCAAAAAAATTAAAATATAAAGATACATACTTTCGTAAAAATAATTTACACACACATTCGTTTTTACATCATACGAGTTCAAATTTTCACGTTTAGATTCCTTTTCCTTAACAAGAGAATATGCTATGTTGATGCCTAAAACGAGACGTTTTAGAGGATATTGTCTGTGATTTGAAAAATTCATAATAGAATGATGACATACCAGATAAATTTCGAACAATTAATGATTCCAAGGTGGTCGGAAGCTCTTTTATCAAAGTATTTAGCACTTCAGAACTATTGACATTGATAGTATCCTGATAAATAGTCAGATGTTTGAGTTTTTTGCAAGTTTTTAATGAGACGATGGCATTCTTCAAATTTAATCCTTGCATTTCTAGAGCTTGTAAATTATAAAGATACCAATAGGGAAGGAGTTCATCAAGAATTGTACTAGCTATATTAGAATTATGATCGATTTTAAGGTATTTCAAATTATCTCCAGCTGAAATAAAAATTTGCTCTAAAAATTTCACGGGTATTTCTTCTTTCGTCATTGAAATAGAGAAATATTCAAGTTTTTTGAAAAATCTGGCAATTTCCGTCCAATGTTGTTGATCTAGGTTTTTACAATATGTGATCTTCAGACAACGGAGGTTTTCACAAAAACTTAACGCCTCGACAAAATTATCCGATTCAAGTAATCTCAAATCTACTTGATTTAATTCAATGGCGCGTAGTGTTGTTGATGAGGAATCAAAGTTTGAAATGAATCGGAATAGAATTGCGGATGAACCATATAATCGGAGCCATTGAAAACCATTTTGCGCAATAATAGTTTTTTGCAGTCCTATTGCAGTATTTTCCAATTGCTTTGTAATACGAACGTTCGAATGACTATCACAAAACAGTATGATTCCACGAAGATTTTGACAAACTTTTGCCAATTTTTGTAATAAGATCTCTAAATCTTTGGCGATTCCGATTGTGGTTATTTGATCAAGATTCTTTAAGAGTAAATTTGGCGAGCGTTCTTTAGGAATTAAGCTCCAAAATTGATCAGCTTGAAATGAGTCAAATATCAAAGAACGCATAGACTTCATTTCGGCTAGAAAAAGTCGACATAAAGACTCTTCCAATACATTGCATTCCTCAATAGAAGGGGTTTTACATTCGCATCTTCTTCTACATTTACATTTACATTTCAACCAATCACCCGCAGCAAAATGTACTGAAGATGGATCATATTCACATAAAAAGGATGCATAGTTAAATGTCGGAGATCTTGTGGACGGTTGTTTACTGATTCCATTTTCAAGAAGATGTTTCCATGTCTCATTTGAGAAGCTTTTAACATACGTATTGATTATTTTTGCTCCTTTCACATTTTTGATTGATAGTGGAGCTTCCCAAAGAATCGATACTACTTCGCGACACCATTGTCGGTTGACCAACAAACAGTTGAACTGACTATGTTGATTGAGCTGCTTAAAAATTTTCTGCCGTAGTTCAATAGGTAAAGTTTGCATTATCTGAATTGGAGAAACTTATTATCGTTATTATCTTTTTTATAATGAAATGCATTTTTTATTAATACGTTACCTAATGTGGTAAATGTATACTGTACAGTAAATCTTTTGTTTTGTTGAAGTGTCAGCTATTTATTTATACATACGTATACATGTAGTCATGTAGTTCTGACGAATAAGATTATCAAATTTCTAACAAGAAGAAATTCCGTTTCTGTTAAAATGTTTGTTTTTTAACCATAAAAGGTCATACATTCGGAGTACTGTACTGTATACATGTACATGTTCTAAAAGATTTATGCGTACATGTGGTTGTATATAGTCAACGTACCGGTACGTAATTGCATAATTTGCAGCATGGTTCAAACCTTGATTAATTGTATGTTATGGCTCACGTGATCAAGACTCGTAATCATTGGTAACATTAGGAGTGGAGAAATTCGCGAATACTCCGTAAAGCAAAATTGTACTACAGAAAAAAAAACATTCTAATATCCTCATACCGATACGCCGAGCTTAAGACTACTATCGCCCAAAAGATATTTTTCTAAAAAAATAAACATTACAAAAACGGGCTTTTGTGACACATTATTATATCAAGTTCAGTAATACCGATACATAAATAACGATAATGTCGATTATTGGTTAACGGATCCGGTTTAATGTGAGTATTTGTCCGATTTAGACTACACATATAATCTGTCCTCGGTTCCTGATCACATGCACATGACAAACCAATAATGATGCGTAAATTTTGATCAGCCGGCAAAAAGGTCGGGAAGGCAATCACTTGGTCCTCCACTCTAACCCTCACCCTAACCCAAACGATAAAATCAACCTTTAATAGTTGCCGGCACACGCGCATTCTTATTGGTTTGTTATCATGTGATCGCGAACCGAGCACAGGTTATAATTATATATACATTTATCAATATGCGCGCAGCGCATATTGATAAATATTTTGGAATGCGTATAACGCACACCTGTGCCATAGGCGCTGCGGTTAATGGGAAATTGGTATATCATTACGTACATTTACCTTGTTCCGAATATGCAATATGCGCAATCGCACACGTCAAAACTTGACTTTTTACATTGTTTCCTGATTAGTGAGTGTCCGGTTTAGAGAGAACGACGTGTATAATTTAAATTACTATTTAAACATAATAATTACAAAGATAGAAATAAATAAATGAATCGATCCTCCGAAAACATTCTCATTTTCCACCAATTACAAAACTGATTGGTCAACGTTATAAATTGAAGTACAAATAGAAGTGAAACCCGAACAACAAAGTGAAACTTGAATACATGTACTTTATTACATGTACATATGTATAAACTAACATTTGTGTATACGTAATAACATTCACAATAAAAAATGATAAATGTTTTTAAATATTATTATTGTTTAAAGATGGATACTAAAGTCGTCGTTTGAAATACTGAAAATGAAAATGCACTATCAAAGTGTGTCTTGTGTAAAAAGTAGATTTTTATAGCCTGCCCTTTTTATATAATCAACATTAAGTGAAATTCTGAAAATAATCACAAGTAATATTTCATATTCTTTAATTTATTCTTTATAAATAATCCAAAAGGAGATCATTATCAAAAGGAAAATGATATATTTTTTGTCTAATGTTCATGTAAAAATTTGTACTTTAAGAAAGATCATAGCTGTTCAACTTTTACAAGATTCTAAAATCTTATACCATGTTTGAAACCAAAAGGTAAGATTATTTCAATAAAAATAATTTTAGATATATTTCTTAGAGCTTCATCTAGGTCAAATCAATTTTAATTAATTCATAATTTTGATTAATCAAGTTTTGAATATGATGACAATATAATTGAAAACTGGTAATTTTTATTGTACTATTAAGAAAAACCAATCCTAATTAAAATCAATCCTCTGAATCAATTTAGTCACTAGAGAACTATTCTAATAAAGAATGTTATTAAATGCATAACAAAAATCTTATTTAAAATATATAAATATTAATTAATAAATCTTTTATTATAGAAGAGACTTTAATTATAATATGGTTGTGACTAGTATTCCTATAAACTGAACTGAACCAGACTTTTGCTCAGGTTCAAGTTCAGTTTGAAATTCGAACCAAACTCGAACCAGACTTTGGCTTGAGTTCAAGAAAGATTCAAAGTTCGAACCGAATTTGAACTGAATTATTATACGAGTTTAAGTCTGGTTCGAGTTTGATTAAAGCTCAGCATATAGTAATATATACTGATTTGTAGCTCTAAATGTAAGTTACAACTTTACTTATAAGTATAATTTATAGTATTTAGTAAGAATTAAAAGTTTACATAGTGATAACTAAAGTATTTTTATTTTTACATTTATTAAATT